TTGCGTTAAGGCAAAAGATGAGGTTAGGTTGAAGAGTTGGGATGTAGCTGGGTTGTTCACATTAATGGGGATGTTAAAATCTCCAAGAATGATAGTGGGTAGTTCAGAGGGGAGAAAGTAGGGTAGCCAGGTGAACAAATCATCAAGAAAGCGGGACACCGGTCCAGGAAGCCAAAAAATCACTGCAATCCTCAGAGAAATGGGAGAAAAACAGCCAAATGCAGTGAGTCTCGAAATAAGAGAAGGATAGAGAGGAAGGGTTAGGGAGGACTTGAAAGGTGCTCAGTGGGAATAGAAGCAAACCACCGCCCCACCCCCCACCTCCTTTCTGACCACTGGGTCTGGGTGAGTGGGTACAGAGAAGGCCTCCATAGGAAAGTAGTGCGGGAGAAGAAGAATCTGCTGCTTGAAGCCAGGTTTCTGTAATTGCTAGTAGGTTAAGGGAGCAGGAGACAAAAAGTTCATGGACAGAGGTGAGCTTATTACAGACAGAGAGGGCATTCCAGAGTGCACATGAAAAAGGGAGGGTGGTTTTTGGGAGCACGGGGACTGATATTAAATTGAGTAGATTGCGGCTATTCCTGGAGGAAAGAGGGTGCCTGGTGTGGGGGTGAGATAGTGGAGGACCAGGGTTTATAACACAGTTCCTTTTTATATCACAGTGCCTTTTTAAATCACAGTGTTTCTTGTATAACACAGTGCCCCATTATGTCACAGTGCACCGTACATGACACTGCCCCTCTATATCATGGTGCCCTTTCAATGCAATCCTCCCTGCACAGTCCTACCTTCCGAAGGGCGGAGATACTTATCAGCCGGGGGTGTGCTCTCCTAAGCCTCCCTTTCGGCTGCCGCTGTCATCCTCACAGCAGGGCAGGGGGCAGGATGTACTGCAGATCAGGATGGAGGGTGAGAGCTGCCCTATTTACTATGTTAATTATTAACTGATTATCCGCTTGTTAATTTGAAATGACTCCCACTCTCTGTGCAGATCTACAGCATCTACAGCCCCATGTCCTGCTGTGAGGATGACAGCAGCAGCCAGATGGGAGACTCAGGAGAGCACACACAGCTGCTAAGTGGCAGCTGCGGTCTGGACGGGACTGTCACACTGTTTGGATTCAGACCGCGGTCTGCCATTTAGTTATCCCTGCTCTAAACACTATATATGGAAATTTGTATCCTGAAAGCCTGGCAAATTATAGTTATAACAGAGTTGCACTAATGTTTCCTCATTTTTACAACATCTTTACCTTAACATTGGAATTATATTTAAATGCATTTATTCCTTCTGACAAATTAATGACTGACTGCACTCCTTCTGTTGCTTGGCTGTCATCTGCACATCCCTTCACAGCTGAGTCCCCTGTAACAAAGTTTTATTACCTGTTGATCATGCTAGTAGAACTGGTATTTTTCCACTTACTTTAACAGGTTGAAGTTTCCAGCAAAAGTGGCAGTTAAAGTTTGAGCAAACTATATTACATGACTGGGAGTGTTTGGAGTGTTTGGAGACAGCTTTTATTAATATGGCTTAAATGGAAAAAAAAAATTATATATATATATATATATATATATATATATATATATATATATATATATATGGAATTGCTTAAAGGATAAGTTCACCTTTTAACAAAAAATAATAAATGCACATTTTTGCAAAAAAATGTGCATTTATTTTTTTCTGTTTCTGGAGCCTCTGAAGCATGTCAAATCAAATTGAATAGCAGATCGCTGGTGCCATGCAGGTCTCCTGCAGACCTGTCAGTGTATCTGTGTGCCCATGCAGAATTTCCCGTACAGGCAAGCAGATACTTACTGACAGGAAGACTCAATGAGCTACCACAGCACTCCACAATGCTGTTATTTCATTGAGAACTACAAGCCAACAGCTGCAAAGGCTGTCGGAACTTGTAGTGTTTTCATTCACAGAATACTGTGAATGAGTGACATGGCCAGGCGGGCGGAGCCCCACACTGCCGCGTTTTTTAAAAATTGTTACAGCTAGCGGTGGGGAGAAGATTCCCCGCTAGCTGTCACAACGGGGATCGGGGGGTGCGGGGGGTGCTCCATTCGTAACATGTTACATGTTACACCCTGAATATGGGTGTAACATGGTATGAAAGGTAAACTTATCATTTAAATTGTGCTAGCTGAAATTGGGCTTTAATCTGTTCCTTAACCAGTTGAGGAACTTGGGCTTGCCACATATACCCAAAAAAATTAATCAAAGTATGCAAGGTATACAATATGTATTACTAGCTGTCCTTCTGCACTGCTGCCACCCCCTTCTTCTCATTTGCTAGCAATTTCTGTCTGTCAAAATGACAACTGGGAGTTACTGTGTAGATACAGCAGCTATTACAGCTGTTACTGTTTGTTTGTTTGTTTAACATTATATTAGCGCAACGGTTTATCAAGCACAAATTTTCAGAAAAAAATACTAAAGTTATTATTGGGTGCACAAATGCAACATATTACCCACATTTTTTGTTAAAGTATAAAAGGTGAGGTTGCACTGAGTAAATAGATAGCTAATATGTCAACACAAGCTTGTGAAACTGCAACAAACTTTGCTAACCTAAATTTTCCAAGTTCTTGGATGTGACTTTAATTTTTTACTTTTTTTTTTTTCTAATACCTGATTCATATCACACAGGAGACCAAAAGTGCCCTTTGTGATATAATGTTGTTATGACAAATTCTCTTCAATTAGACAAGGGGCAAAGAATCTGAGAAAAAAAGGACCTAAAGCGGTCGTTCTACAGATAGCCCTGAGAAAAAAACAGAAAAACACTCAGGGTGATAGCTGTTCCCCTGCACCAGAGCAAGGGCCTATAATGACACCAATTCCTTCCTCTAATTCTAGCTCTCTCTCAAATGCACAACAGATGGTCTCTCTGACTGAGGTAGATTTCACCTAAACTCTGTCTGGTTTCAATAAAAAAAGCTGGTCTTCAGGGCCCAAATACTCTTCTGCCTCTACACCACTTGAATCTATTAAGGAGTATGACCCTGAACCTCCCAAACTTTTCAAGTTACATATTGCGGAAGATGAGATGGATGCAGAAGAGGATCCTGCAGAGGACTTTTTCGCATCTTGCATTTTATGAGGCACAAGCTAAAGCTTTACACCACAGTTAGTGCAAAGCACTAACTGTGCTTTGCAAAAGCTTTCCCAGCAAAGCTTTTTCCAGTGTCCAGTCACCTGAAGGTAGTAGTATATATAACCCATGCTCTATTATTTTCTGGGTCCTCTTCTGTACTCCAAGAAATGGAATTTACTGGTAAGTTAAAATTACTTTGTTTTTAAATAAATTTGCAATGCTTTGTAGCAGAATCATAATTTGATCGTCATATAAATAGGATTATTTCTTAGATAAAATGTATTGCAAAATGTATCAAAGTAGTAAAAAAATGTTTTTTTTTTAGTTTTGTAAATTTGTTTGTTTCTGTATTGTAAAATAACACTTTATCACTTAAAAAAAACTCTTGCTTTTGTATCTTAAAAATAGCATAAATATTATTTTATTGTCTAAACTAATAGCAAAGTTATTCCAAATAAATAGGTCCATAGCTGAAATGTAAAAATTGCTCTGGTTCATAGAAAACAGGATGACAATGCTGCTGTGTGATTTCACTGTAGAACAAACAAGGTTGTCATCTGTTAAAGTAACTGAAAAAACAGATCTTCTGACAGGATCATCATTTGATAAAACTATGTTACAGGGGAGACTAAGGAAAAACAAAACTGCTTTGGAAATACTTTGTCATATGTCATATTTTACACTGTTTAGAATTCAACTTTAAGAACAAATTCTTGAATGCAGGAATTTTTCATGAACTTCAACTGTATTGTGTGTAAAAGCTAGGCTTTTGTACAGCACTCACAGAAAGCTGATGTTCGCTGATAGATATTTGACTTACTGCTGTGTGACCAACATTTTGCCCACTCTTCTCCTATTTGTGATACTTTTTTTTTGGGGGGGGGGCAGGTACATGGTTTTAACAAGTACCCACACCCACTCCTGGTAAGATCACCACGTTGGATCCACTGAAAGTTCTCCCCCCTCACCCACAACCTCCTGGGACACATCATAGGCCCCATAAAGCTGTGGGACCATTCACAAAGCTCAAGCGCGCATGTGAGAAGCTGGCTTTGAAACTGCAAGGAATCACAGGTGGCTGCCCACAGAAAACATGCCGATGCCGGGGACCTTAAGACCGTCAAAGAGCTGGTGAGGTCAGGCGAGTGTCCTTTTATTAATGGTCAACAGCTGCAGTACTTGTAGCTGCTGACTTTTAATTTTTCCAAACAAGGTGAAAAACCGCTTAAAGTACACTATTCGAAAAAAAAATTAAAGGAACACTTTGCAAATACATCAGATCTCAATGGGGAAAAATATCATGCTGGATATCTATACTGATATGGACTAGGTATTGTGTTAGGAACGTAAGGATGCCTCATCGTTTGATGGAAATGAAAATTATCAACCTACAGAGGACTGAATTCAAAGATACCCCGAAAATCAAAGTGAAAAAATGATGCAGCAGGCTAGTCCATTTTGCTGAAAGTTCATTGCAGCAACTCAAAAAGGTACTCAGTAGTTTGTATGGCCCCCACGTGCTTGTATGCATGCCTGACAATGTCAGGGCATGCTCCTAATGAGACAACAGATGGTGTACTGCGGTATTTCCTCCCAGATTTGGACCAGGGCATAACTGAGCTCCTGGAAAGTCTGAGGTGCAACCTAGTGGCAACGGATGGACCGAAACATGATATCGCAGAGGTGTTCTATTGGATCTAGGTCAGGTGAGCGTGGGGGCCATTCAATGGTATCGATTTCTTCATCCTCCAGGACTTGCTTGCATACTCTCACCACATGAGGCTGGGCATTTTTCGTGCACCAGGAGGAACCCAGGACCCACTGCACTAGCGTAGGGTCTGACAATGGCACCAAGGATTTCATTCTGATACCTAATGGCAGCCAGGGTGCCACTGTCTAGCCCAGGGCTTGAAATTTCCACTCACCTGCTCGCCAATGGTGAGTGGAAATTATGGTGGGGGCAAGTGTGTCCCCCATGGCCGTCTTAATGAGCAGGCTTGGAGCTCAGGCCGGATCTGTCATTGGCACTGAGAGCCATCAGACTGCTCAATAGCTGAGCGCAGTGAAAGCAAAGCAAGGAGTGTGTGCCTTGCTCTCTGCCTCCCCCTAGAGTGCAGTACCCAGATCTGTGAGTGAACAACGGAGTACTGCAACTTTTTATGGGGTGTGTGTGTGTGTGTGTACGCGTACATGTGTGAGTGTTTGTGTGTGTCTGTGTATGCATGTACAATTGTACATGTGTCTGTGTGTATGTACATGTATGTGTGTGTACATGTGTCTGTGTGTGTGTACATGTGTCTGTGTGTGTGTGTGTGCATGTACATGTCTGTGTGTTTGTGTGTATGTATGTACATGTGTCTGTATGTACATGTGTCTGTGTATGTATGTACATGTGTCTGTGTATGTATGTACATGTGTCTGTGTATGTATGTACATGTGTCTGTGTTTTTTATCTGTGTGTATGCATGTCTGTACGTGCCTTTGTGTGTATACATGTGTCTGTATGTGTGTACATGTGTCTCTGTGCGTGGGTGTTTGTTGGTGACGAGTAACTCTAAGGCCTGGCTAGTAGCTCAGGACTTGAAATTTTAAGCCCTGGTCTAGCCTGTAGAGGTCTGTGCGTCCCTCCATGGATATGCCTTCCCAGACCATCACTGACCCACCACCAAAACGGTCATGCTGAACAATGTTACAGGCAGCATAATGTTCTTCACGGCTTCTCCAAACCCTTTCACGTCTGTCACATGTGCTCAGGGTGTACTTGCTCTCATCTGTGAACAGCACAGGGTGCTAGGGGCGGACCTGCCAATTCTGGTGTTCAATGGCAAATGCCAATTGAGCTCTATGGTGCCGGGCAGTGAGCACAGGACCCACTAGAGGACGTCGGGCCCTCAAGCCACCTTCATGAAGTCTGTTTCTGATTGTTTGGTCAGAGACATTGACACCAGGTCATTTTGTAGGGCTCTGGCAGTGCTCATCCTATTTCCTCCTTGCACAAAGGAGCAGATGCCAGTCCTGCTGATGGGTTAAGGACCTTCTATGGCCCTGATCAGCTCTCCTAGAGTAACTGCCTGTCTCCTGGAATCTCCTCCATGCTCTTGAGACTTTGCTGGGAGACACGGCATACCTTCTGGCAATGGCAAGTATTGATGTGCTATCCTGGACTGCCTGTGCAACCTCTGTAGGGTCCAAGTATCGCCTCATGCTGCCAGTAGGGACACTGACCCTAGCCAAATGCAAAACGAGTGAAAAAGTGAGAAAAGATGAGTAGGGAAAAAAATGTCAGTGGCCTCCACCTGCAAAAACCATTCCTGTTTTGGGGTCATCTCATTGTTCCCCGTCTAGTGCACCTGTTGTTAATTTCATTAACACCAAAGCAGCTGAAATTGATTAACAACCCTCTCTGCTGCTTAACTGACCAGATCAATATCTCCAGAGTTTAATTGACTTGATGTTATACTCTGATTAAAAAGTGTTCTTTTAATTTTTTTGAGCGGTGTATTTACATTTTCAGATAATAAAATTTTTAAATAAAACAAAAAATATAAGCAAATGTTATTTTTGAACATTGCATCTGAAGAAAACAACAAATACAGTAATAGCTATTAGCTTTGCATATATCTTGTTGAGTTTTTGCTAGATGTATTTTACAGGATTAAAAAAAATAAGTGTGCCCCTCATCCCCAGTCTTTTACATTGGTAACCCTCAAATCACTGACTTTTTATAGATCAGCAGAAATTTGCCTTTGCATTGTCAAGGGAAACTGCAGTGCAATGCCTAGGGAGAGTGCAGTGTTTAGTTATTCAGCTGATCTTACTGTTACACCTCAGCTTAAATTGGGTTGACTGTTGAAAATAATGGCAATTCAGCCTTTACATACTGTACACCAAAATGAACACACCAAGACTTCTATTATTCTTATTCCTGAGCCTGGCTATTATGTCAAGCTGTGCATCGTAAGTAGAAAAAACAGGGCCAAGGGTGTAAACGTTGTGCCAGCCCACAGTATAGCCAGAGAAGTCATATTTTAGCAAAAGAGCTTTCTTTTTAAGCAAGCAAATAATACAACACACTTAAAAAATAGACATGACTGCATGTAGTCAGGTGGTCTTTTTTCTTGTTCCTTGGGGGCCCCCTCAGGTACCAATGGTCACACCTGGACACAGCCACAAGATTTCTGAAAGTGAATGCACTCAAGTCACCTCAGTTGCGATTGCAAACACTGCAGCTTTATTGGCATAACATCAGGGTTTTTATACTATAGCCTTTGGGCAGACCCACTTTCAAACCATTCAATCAAATACATGCACATTATCTTTACCTTAACTCAACAATTATTTGTATGATGTCTGTATTTACACTCAAGTTTCTGCCTTATCTTTCACACCATATCTGGCCTAAAGGCCAAACCATGGCTATAATCTGGCCCAACGCCCAAGCTGTGGTTACAACTTTTCAGAAATGAGAGTAAAGGTTATCTCCTTTTTTGTAAAGTTTACAAAAACACTAATTTCTACATAAAGCTGGCATAGACAGTTTTGTTAGTGTGTACAAACTTCATATATACTGTATATGTATGTTAAACAAGCATCTTGTATTAGTGTGTACAAAATGGATTCGGTTATATTCCATTAATCCTTTCAATGACTGCACTATGACTGACTATTTATTCCATTTAAATGGAACATCATCACATCAAATAGAGGCTTTGCTTGATCATTCTCTATATTTCTCGACTAAATAATGCAGTTGAGAGATGAACTACCCTGATTACCTTGTTGCCTAAAATATATAATGCGATTAACACTTTAATACTGTCCTGTGTTACCATTCAGTTAAATTGCTCTGTACAAGTATTGACTCAAATTCTGATCCATGACTGAAGTAATCCTTTCAGCAGAGAAAATTAACATGTTCTCTAGTTTTAATCTGCAATTTCAAATAAATCCCGCAACAGCTTCAGGGCCTTATATTTTTTTAACAAAAGCTACCCAATTAATCTGTCATTTACACTTTCCAACGTTTTGCAAACCATAAACTCTATGCTGTGACACAACACATTCAAGAAGAACTGCTTATCTGGATAATCTCCTTATATTCTGACATTCAGGAAATATAGGAATACATTTGGAAATATGCCATGTATTTAGAAAGAACCTGAAATGTGTTTTGTTACAGATAAACTTTTTTTCAGATAAAAAAAAGAATGCAAATAGTTGTACCAATTAAAAAAAAAGATGGTGTTTTGGGGACTGTAATGCCAGCAAGCAGCAGATTTATTGTGAGGTTTAGCTGGCAAGATAAGTTTATGGTAATAAATCATATGTATCTTATTTAAGATTAACAGCACAAGAGGGATACTTTGAGCCTTCAATAAATATTGAACTAGTTAAAGGAAGGAAGACTCTGTAGAACAATAATTTAGTACAGAAGAGCAAAAAACTTTATCCATGTCTGCTTTTTATTTTTGTATGAAAGAAAAGAGGCAATAAATGTACTGCAGTCTCTAGAGTACTAGCCACTGAGTTGCAACAGAACAAACCCATGTTTCCACTAGCCAACTTGTATGAAGGAGGGCACATTAGTAGAAAGAATTGCTATAAAACTGCCTTGATATTGGTGTCTCATCCTTTCTGTACAAAGGGGGAGATTTACTAAAATTGGGGCACTCAGAATCTGGTGTAGTTGTGAATGGCAGCCAATCGGCTTCTAACATCAGCTTGTTGACAATATAGCCTGGAAGCTGATTGGTTTATAGGCAACATTGCACCAGATTTTGCACTTTCTAGTTTTAAAAAATAACCACCAAAGACTGACTAATGCTGTATTAATAGGCAGTAATATCTGGCACCCCCCTAGCCTTCACCTCAGCATGAGGAGATCTCATTGGACAGTGTTACTGCTCTTGACCAGCCAGCTTTTGGGAGTGAAGGTTTCTTATAACATGTCACTGGTAATGCACTCCACAAAGAACAGAAATCCAATCACTCTTTAACTTTGAGCTACAAATAAAACTTTTCTCAGATTATGTTGTGCTGCTGTTGATTGCAGACATGAAATTGTCATTACACTTAATGCAGGTTCACCCATCATTGGTCCTTGCCAGCATGTCCCTTTCTTGGATTACAGAGTGCTCTAGGAAGCAATTTGCTACATTACCATCCAATTCATGCCAGCTCATTTTCATGCAGCCTTTATGTGATTTCAATTCATGCAAATTGCAATTAAATATTTCCTATGATTGTCAGCCAGTCTATTTACCTGTATGCACCTGTATGCTGTTGTTTAACCTTAATAGTATGTTTGAAAATGCCATAATTATGAACACTGAATTTGAGTTTTCTTGGGCTGAACCATCCAATAGACACAGGCTTTTCATAGCAGGTGGTAAAGAGACAGAAAATTACATGCAGAAAGAAATGTAAATCTTCAAAAACTGGGTGAATAGAGGGTTGAATTATATTAATTTGCAATATTTTAACTGTACCTGATTTTTTTGGCCTGGTCACAAAAAAAGTTAAAGGAGAACTAAAGGCTTTTCATTTTGCATAAAGATAACCCCTGTCAATTGTTTTGTTTTTTGTTTTTTTTTACCATGTGTCCCATTGGGGAGACTTCCCATTACTTTCTGCCTATAACCAAAACCAGAAGTGAGAGGAAATCCCTCCAAAGTGAGCAAACGCATGGTTATCACCAGGGTCACCAGGACTAATGTTCTCACTGAAAGATTTCCCCTCTATTACTGTTTCTGGGGACAACCCAAAATTTGGGATTTTCTTTTACTTTCACTGCTACTAGTAAACATGACAACCAGAGAGGGTGAATCTCCCTAATGGGGGACACAGACAGTAATTAAAAAAGCATGTATGGAGATTAAATCAGCCATATGCTTTTTGTATCTTTTTAGGACTCTAGAGGATCTCCAAAACTCTGAGTCAGGCTGAAAAAAAAAAAAAACAAGCCGTCCTGTGATTTAAAAAAAAAACATAGCTCTAGATTTAAGGAAAACTTTTCTCACATAACAGTAGCCATGTCATTCCATGTTACTTCAATTCTAAATTCTATAAAATGTAGAGAATTAAGTAATACTCCCTGGCTTAGGCTGGGTCTGGCACCTCAGAGGGGTCCTACCTATTCCCCTGCTATCAGAAGTAGGCCACAACAGTTGCCAGCTAGTGGAATATTTATTGTAAGGGATTTCTTTGTGGGCCTTTTGCTTGGTCCCAAAACCTTCCAGTCTGTCAGTGCTTTGCTTTGAGTGGCTTCTGGAACTGGTCGAGGTAGGGATTAGGATGGGAGCTAGGAATTTTCTAATGAAGTCCTCTAGCTATACAAAAAAGACAGTGTGCTATTTTTAAAACTGAAATTT